AGAGTGGTTTCTTGTGAAACACCTAATTTTGCAAAAAGATCGCGACGCGATGAAATGAAAGAAGAATAAGACACAAGTAAGCAGCTAAGTTGCTGAGCAGTTTGAAAGGGCGGCGTCTTCGGTCGAATTTTACCTACATACGAAGACAATTTTCGATGGGTAAGGTTACTTTTGAGAATCACAGAAGGCGACCAATACCATAATTTTATTTATCCTTTGTTATGCCTGGAATAAATAATTATTTGCTTCTGAAACATAGTTCTTCTTTAAGTGAGATCACTTTAGCCTTTCAATACAGGTATTCCATATCTTAAATATACTCTCCGGTCATCTTTACCAAAACAACTTTTCATACTGGTACGTTTCAAACGACGCAATACACAAAATGAATTTTTATTGCCAGTAAGTGAAAAAAAAACACTTCTGTTGCCACATAATAAAGATTGAACGTTGGTAAGAGAACATTAATGTAACAGAGAGGCAGCTCAATTTATGGACACTTTGTCTTCCCGCTTCATTCTCTTATGATGTTCACATGGACAAATATTCATTAACGTAAACCAACAACAATCTTCTTACTCACCAACTTTTCAAACTTTGCAGGCAAGTAACCGAGTCTTTGATTATAAAGCGACAAATACTATTTCATGGGAAAAGCAAAAATGATATAAGTGAGAAAAGACAGTGCGTTCATGTACATTGTGGACTATAAAAAGACTAACAAATTACGGTGTGGCAACCCTGGGCCTCCTGAGCTTAGCGTACTGGATTCCAGGTAGAGAAATTTGTGCTCCAGGCTTAGCCAAATTCTTTTGTTTGATACTTACTAAAGCTAAATTATGTTTCATTTGACTTAATGCACGAAAGATGTTGATAAGTTTCAGACTTACATGTTTCGTAAGAGAACCAAGAGTGACATACATTTTGGTCAGCACCTATGATAACGGATATAAAGTAACACCGAGTATTAGAGCTTCCATCCTCAAGTCATAAAAAGTACATGTAGCCAACAGAAATTTTGTGGTATATTATTTATACTAATTGCATTCTTATTAGCCCTTACAATACTGTCTTAGATCACAAAGTTATTCAGTTAAATTACATATATCAATAACAGACTTTACAACCAAATAATGTCTTTTAAACAGCGAGCAAGCTTCTGTCAAGTACATAGGACAAGGGGCATGTAACATAGGACATAGTTCGTCGGACAAAACAAATGGCAGATGCAAGTAGCTACTAAAAAAAAACTGAGGCTTTACTGTATGCCATAAATAACCTTCAGTGTTGCTTCAGTACATGGACCTTCTGGAAGAGCAGACTGTGACAGTTCGTGGAGAGCAGACACAACAGTACAAAGACGTTGGCACAATGCCTGCTCCAACATACCACGAGGGCAACTGTCGGGAGAATCTGGCACCTTTTCTTCTGCAAAATAGGGTTTAAATGAAAAACTTTATTAACCTTAACTATCTCAAACCCATTTCCATATATAAAAGAGAGAATTTGAAAAACACGTGAGGTGTAATTTTCCCAGTGGTGCACAAACCACCGAGAGCGAGAATTTAAAAGTAAACATAGCACCATACCAGACTTAAATGTCACTGTAAAGTGTACCACTGTATACAGCTCACCGAATATAGTTCTAAAGATTTCGATAAACTAGTTCAGGTCAAGCCAGTCATCATCTTTTCATTCCGTACACACTACGTAACAACTGGCACAAAGTAGGTGAAACCACCTCTGTTGGCCAAACACTTCCTTACTTCCTTCCAACTTAAAGTAACATTCAGGTAATTGTCTGCAAGGAAATCCCAAAAGGATTGTTCTAAAATCTCAATTAGGTTTACATGGTGCACCGTGAGCTACAAGCCATCAGAAGCACCACTTATACACATTTTTTTCCAGTCGAAATGCTCAGTTTCAGCGTAATGCTCACCCGTCAGTCCTGCTGCTGATGCTGTCATGTCACCTTTGACCTTCACAAGTGCCCAGTCCATTTCGTCTACAATTTTTTCTATTTGATTTACCAAAAGGAGCTGTAATAGATAAAGTATATGTTGTAAAGAAACATGTACAGAGTGTTCAAATAGTAAGTTTTCTAACATTTCTGAAAACTTATTGCATGCTTTATTTTCTTTGCATATTTCTTTATTGTATGCATGAATCAGAATGATCGCCCTCATTAGGCCATCTCCTCTCTTACTTTCTTTAACTCGTGTTTGGATCAGTGGTTACAAGATTATGAAGAAACTATGAAATTGAATTGAAAGCTGGAGAAAAGGGTGGGAAAAGCATCAATCAACTGGAAAAAAAAATAACATCTATATATTTATACATTTACAATGATAACTGACTTACAGCAACGGTAGGTGCAGCAGTTCTTGGGTTAATAATCGCATAGTGAGTTCTGTTTTCAACTTCAATTTCCTAACGAAAAAAAGGAGCGATAAAACAACTTACGAACAATTCGAAGTTCCAACACCACATAAACGTCCAAAGATATAATCTATCTTAGCGGCACGACTGGACAAAATATATATAAGAGGAAGGCCCCTAATTAAGAGGATAGGTACCTGTATTAATATTCTTACATGTTTTAGTTTCTTCTTCTTCTTTACTCGCAATATTTATCAACAATTAATGGAAAAACACTTCAAGACTACTGAAAGCTGTTCGTTCACAAACCAAAATAATGCGAACAAGATTAGCAAAACGTTTTGATTTATCAGTACTACTTTCGCATTGTAACGAGTACAAACGTCGTACTTCATCTACATCTCCAAGCTGGCTATGGACATCTTGGGCAACATCACGCACCTACAGCAACCAAGAAGCAATTACCTCATGTGTGGAAAAACTAAATTCTGCCCACGAGCAGTGTTCTCCTAAATCTAAAAACTGACATGATCTACGCTTACGCTTTGCTCTTAACAGAGGAAGGTTGTTACCTGTTTCTACAATGACTTCGAGCATCGATACATAGATTTGTAGTACTCTATTCGAAGATCCAGAATGCATGGAACTGTGCCATTTAACTTGGGGTGGCGTGAAATTAATATATGCATTATTTGGTCTGGGAAGAGGTGGAGGTGGGGATCGTAAACTAGTGATTATTGGGCTTGACTCTGGATTGAAAGGCTCTGGGTAAACCATGGCCAGGTCATTGTGTTGTGTTCTTTTGTAAAACTCTCAACTCTTACTTAGCCTCTCATCGCCCAGGAGTATATATTTGACTTCCCATACCTCAAAATTTCAAGTAAAAATGTAGAAAGAAAAGAGATACAGCGAGACTAAGGAGTTTGGAGCAAATAACTGTTTAAGAAAATTTGTTGCCATACATAAAAGCTCTCACCCTATCAACATCAACAGGGTTGGTATGGAATTGATTGGGTTGAATACGCTTACAAAGTTGATCATAAATATGACTGATGCCCTTACCAGTCCTGCACTTGCTTTCGATTGGAATGTTATGGAGTGTAACAGGGACACCAAAGACTTAGTGAGAGAGGGATCATCTGGAAGGAGAAAAAATAAGAGCAGAATTAGAAACTTCCCAAATGCCCATAATATATAGACATATGAGGTGCAAATGACTTCTCAATTAACACATACTTTTACTTTCTTGTAAATGATAAATTTGAAATGTTCTTCAATTCTCTTACCAACATTATTATCCGCACAAATCATTTGAACCCAGGCATGCAACTGATGAAACTGTATCAAGGAAAAAAATTCAGTTCATTGACAAATTTCAGGGGAAATTGTTATAAAGGTACTCTACTCTTATGACAAAATCAATGAATTGGTAATAATAATGAAAAGGTCTGTAACTAATTTCCCTATAACATTTAATGGGTGGCAAGGCAATGAATTTACAGTCCCTCCAAAGTTACGAGCCTCTACAGGTTCGTAAGGTGCCCCCTTAGAGTACAGTTACCACTTTTATTACTTAACTACAGAGCGGCAAAATGCCACAAGACATATAACTATTGTCTGTAAAGCTATACTCGCAACTACAAAGTGGAGCCCAATGATGCAAAAAGAAAGCATGAACTCAGGATGTATTCTTAATAAAATTGAATGGCTCATGAAAGTAGCAGAATACAGAAAAGAGATTTGGTATTTGGTAAATAATTGTCAACAGGGTTGGGTTGTTCAAAACACAGTTAACCTGACCCAGAGTTAGTGTAGATTTTTAATTTAGTTTTACAGCTCTGAAATGGGATTTTTCTTGGTTTTTTTTGTTGTTGTTGTTGTTGTTTCCATTAGTTTTGAGTTGTATTGAAATAAAACCCCAAAAGTCCCATGGTTTTTATACACCCTCCTCAAATAAAGCCAAGGTTAACTTTTAGTAATACATGTAGATTAACGTTAACCTCTTTCGAACAACCCTTTAACTCCCAAGATCTGATTGTTAATTTTCCCCTCTAGCTGCTACACATTTCCTTGTAAATAAGTCACGAGAATTTGGTGTTAGATCATGACTATACTAACTTTTACCTGATAAGTTTGAGTATTCTCATTAGACATTGGCTTGATGTGTGGATGTGTGGATGTGATAGAGAGAAGTTACATGTTAATCACTTATGAGAATTAAAGGGTTAACTGAACATAATAGACACAGATGCATATCTAGAAGAAAAAAAAGTACCTGTGGTCCATCTGGCTCCAAATGATGTGCTAACATTGCAATCACATTCACTAGTGACTGACTGTCCTTCAGACTGATTTCTTTGTCCTCATCAGGAGAGGAAATGATGCTGACAATCAAACGCTAGAAAAACAAGACTTGAAAATCTCACACTATTGTACTCCAAATATACCTTTCTGCAAACTTGCTCAAAAGGAGTAGAGTTTAGTTTACAGAAAAAAATTACTTTGTAATTGATTTTATGAAACCAATGGAGTTAAATTTCTCAAATATTTATTCACAAGGCAGCAACAATTTGAGTATGATAAATACAACATTCAATATTGCAAATGCACACAACTACATGCACATCATGCATACAGCATAAAAATCTGTGTAAAAATTAACCTTCATCTAGCTGTATCACACAATATGGTTGCTTACAGGTATTTTGACACAATTTGTAATACTTCACCATCAGTCACTGGAAGGATGGTAAACATTGATGAAATATACAAATTCAAAAGACAGGGCAAAAATGGTGCACCGGGAAGACAAAATACTGACAAATATTTGACTCTCTCATGTCACAGACAAAAAAAACATTAAAATAAGATGATACAAACCTGAAATTTCTTTATCTGTACATAAATTGCTTCTTGATCTGTTGTATCATCTAATGCACCACCACTGCCATCCTGAGTTGAATCTAAGCAGAAAAAAAGATACATGTAACAGAAAAATTTGTCTGAAGTATGAATAAAGCACTAACCATATGGAACCATACTATCTCTGTTTTTATCCATTGATCTGGCACAAGGTAGAACATTTATTGATTGGAATCACAATAAACAAAGAAAGTGCTCTGATCATGACAGATCAGACTAACAATGAGTGGAAAGTCAACTAAGCACAAAGGAAAAGATTTTAACCTTTTTCAAGTGGCATATTCGCACACAATTATTTTCTTGAATCAATTGATGTGAATTCACCTACAACCATGTAATACAGGTGCACTTTGAGGAACAATAGTATCTATAGCTTACAGGCTCACCTATTGCATTCATGAAGTGAGGCAACTTTTGGGAAAACCTGCAGCACATGATATTAACCACTGAGCAGAAGCCCTCTATACACAAACTATTGATTTTTTTACCCTGTTTAAGAAGGTGAAAGAAGTTAGTTTGTACAATGTCATAAAAAATTTACTAAGTAGTTCATGTTTTGAAACCATTTAATGACTACAGTGAGGAGGGTCCTAATGAGGAGAGAGAAGCACAAATCCCATCCCAACTCCAATTTCTTGGCCAATTTTTCTAAGACTTCAGGACCCAACTCCATTGTTGTTTTTGGTAATTCCCAGTTCAAGTGACCAAATGGAAAAAAAATGGAAATTCAACTCATTGACGCTCCTCTAAGAAGAATGAAAAACAAAAACAGAAGCTGATACAGGGCTTGTTCATTAATTCACTAAACAGTTGAAAATCTAAAACAATTCAGCCAAGAATATAGTGAGATAAAGTAGTCAGCTATGCATATCACACTTACAGTACTCATGTAAAACATAGCAAAGTCTCTCTCTCAGACAACTATTATTTGACATTTGTTGTGCAGCTACCAGATTTACATTATTTACTTGCATTGTGTTACACAGCTTGTTGTTTACTTGCTCCAAAGGCCTTTGTCTTATCACCAATGAAATTAAAATTTAAAGTCTCCTTTCTTTTGTATGTAACCACAAACTCTACTATTCATGATATAGTACCTTCTCCTTCTTATCTGGCTCTTCCTGCAAGCAGCTGTCCCCATTAAGGTGCTTCCAGAAAACTCTAGAAAACAATATATAATCAACTACTTCATGCTACTTTTACACATAAATTACACATAATTCCTGCATTTGTGCCAGATGTTTTCCTTCCTCCCATCTTATGACTGATGTTTGTGACTACCTTAGTAAATTGTATGATAACAAAGAGTAAAATATGTCCTAATCAGAACTGTTTGTGTATGAAAGTGCTTTTAAATATAGGAACTTTGATCAGCTTTGCAAGTGTTGTAGGAGAAAATGCACTGTGAGATAACATAACTTTCTGTTGACTGGCTTTTCCTTTCCAGGCCTACTAAGAGTTCTCACCAAACTAAAATACCACCACTTGAGTACTACTATAAACTGGTGTGATTTATTAATTCCAGAGGAAGAGCATCAGCATTTTTTTGAATGATAAATCTCTTCATTAAGGTTTTCATATTGTTACTCTGAAGTATTTTAAATAGAATTCATTATTGAAAAAGTTAATCATTTGTGCAAAAAGAAAAAAAAAGCTGAGAACTAATCAAAATTCTTTTTCTGTACTTTTTCTAAGGAACAGGGTGATAATGTCAATCTGTCAAGAATTATAGTGTTTAAAAATACCAAATCCATTTTTACCCAACTCGATTTTATTGGTGCTACAATATTTTTAACTTGTTTATGCATGAACAAAAGCATTAACACCTTCCAATGGTACAGCAGTGTTTGTAAATGGTGTCCTTGTTAGAGCCACCAGGTCCTGAGCAAAATCCACCATCACTGATCTGAGAAAGCATTAAGCCAAAGAAGAATATAATTTTCATAGGGGAAATAACACATTTTACTTTCCAACTGCCAAAGTAGAGTACAAATTATAAGCAAATAGAGTACAAATAACCTGCAATATTGTACAGTTGGTTTTTTTGTATTGTAAATAAGCCTGTTTAACTAGTCACCCGTACATGCTATGCTTCTGTCTGGTTTGCTTTTCCCATGCACCTTATAAGAAATGCATGTAAAATAAAGCAATTTGATAATAAGTAACTTATCAGATGTTGAAGAGTGTAGTACCTTTGAGTATTTTATTTCTGTCTGTATTTTGAATTGCCCAACAGGCTTGTCAAAATACCCCAGTACAACTCTTAAAAATACCTTGCAATACTACACACCAAAATGTCCAATAAGATATAAAATGGCCTCTCTGGTTGCAAATCATGCTTGCAACCTACTACTCTGAGGAGTTCTAGTCTATATTTAAAGCAGATTAGTCCATTTCAAAGGTGGTAGTCATGAGATATACATCTTGACACCACACTGAGAATCTTCCTTACAATGTAATATGTTAATTATTGCATTTTTAAAACTCAAGGTTAACCACACAGCTCAACACCACTGCACAAGATACACTTGGTTTAGGATATCATTCTTTCCTTTATCTGTAAGTATAAACTTGAAGCAATTCCCTTAAGGTATGCAATGATACTGACTGGTGTTACATGGTATCAAATAATTAATTATTTATCCATTTACCTCTTGTACAAACAAATTACTTTGAAAGCAGAATAAGAATTTGCCTCTCCAATCAGGTACACTGCCAATTCATATATACAACATGAATACATTCTAGCCATTCAGTTAGTTTATTTAATACCTCTTTGAGTTTTTGAATAGCTGTATTAACAGCATACTTCACCAGTTCTTTCAAGCCTCTTAGTGTAGCTAGACTTTGTTGATGACTTGGAGCTCTGTCACTGAAATATTACAAATATTATATCAACACAGACACCTCTACAATTAAGACAAGTATGACTAATACAGGTGGTGATAAATTTAAACAAACCACAAAGAAAAACTAATGATAAGCTTTAGAAGTAATCATTTCTTTTCATACTCTTTCAATATGAACTTCCATACATTTAGCAACCCTGACCAAACTAATTTAACTTGCTGCATGTTGATAATGATTTCTCTAAATGAGTAATAATTGTGTGTGCAACTATGCCACTATGTGCATAACTACGATGTAGCTTAGCACTTCACTACAAAGACACTGTTTGAAAACAAGATGTGAAAAATGCATTACCTGAAAAATGCTCTCAACAAAGATGCAGAACATTCCAGTGAAAGCATACTTTTAACTCCCTGTTTAACAGCTGCAGAACGGCCTTTCTTTCCTTGAATTCACACCAGAACACAGATTATCTCAAAACACAAGTTAGGCGAAATGTTTGGGGCAGGGGAAAGGGCTCAAGAAACAAAAAACTAGCAGACATTTAACGTCAAAAAAAAAAGGAATAACATTAGTTGAGATAAACAAACAAATTGCTTTCTTACTTTCCGATTTTTCTATTATTTTTTGTTACAATACTTTTTACCCATGCCAAAAATATTGTAACACAAATCATGAACTTAGCAAGTGGGTAACTCTAGATGACAGTACCTAAAATGAGTGGTTTCCATCAAGAATCATAAAATGTCATTGATTAATTCAGTGATTCTCACTCATTTAATTTCATTTCCACATGTACACATATATATCCCAATACACGTGAGCACGAAAAAAGAGAAAATAAACATTTTCTTGGTTCTGGTGTAAAAAAAAACTTACCAGCAGAGTTTGATTTTTCCTTTAGTATCTCTGAAAGCTGGTGGTAATTTCCAAATAATTGAAGAATCTCATCCACTGATTCCCCACTAGACAAGATAAACAAAAGGGACTTTTAAGCTGATCCGTAGGTAACTGAGCATGTTTGAGACAGAGCAGCAAGGGAAACAGAAATTGAGACCTTCAGGCCTAAAAAAAAAATATCATTTGAGTCTTCATACCTTGTCAAAGAATTCTCACAAGTATATCACTGGAACACTTATCTGCTTCTTTTCTTAATATGCCAAGAGCTATGTGAAATTCAAAATTTACTTAATACACTTACCTTAGCTCTCCTTCTGAGAAACTGTACTCTAGCAAAATCTGGATAAAATAAAATCTAAAGTATTATAAAAAGATATAATTCCATACTTTTATACATTCCTAACAGGGGAATTCGAAGGAGACGGAAATTTTTGGGTTTAACACAATTCTAATATTAAACATGCACAGTACCATTGTTTTGACAAACTTGTAATAATTTTGCTTTCTTTCAACCCGCATTATTCCAACTTTTAATAAAAGGTATATTAATTTTGCAACCTTGGCATACATAACATTTCTCTGTTTGTTTGCTTGTTGGTTGGTTGTTTCCCACGTTCAGTAATTTGTTCTGTAAGTGACCAACTCACATGACCACACTATATCTGTCAATGGGCACATTTTGATTTGATTTGGCAGAATTTCTGTAAATCTTCTAGTCAACATATAAGCAAATCACTTGTTTCTTTCTCAATTTGTTCATCATATAGGATGAATTACACTAGATTCCAAGCCAAGAACCATCACTTTACTTATTTACTAAAGAAAGATCATTTGGATGTGAAGAATCAGCCCTTAATTTAAACATCAAACCCCTTTCTTCCCATGAGTGACTCCCACAAAAAATCTCATAAACAAAGAAAATAGAAAGTTAATTAAATGACAATAGTGATCGTATTTAACACAACAAAACTACACTTATTCACAAGAATAAAATCTCACCTAACTGGGAAAATTCAACTATCACCAGACAGTGTTGACATGATACTAAGAATGCAATACAAATACCTCATAAACTCCAAGAACTAGAAGAGTGAGAATGTTGTTCTTTATACCAACACTTGAGACAAGAGAAAAGTCTGCAGACTTATCCTGTAAAAGGTACAAGAAATACCAGTCAATGAAATAAAATTTAGAATTTTAATAAATATGTTTATATATATTTTTTTCAACACATTTCATGTTTTAATTCTTGTATTCTTTTCTCGGCATGTAGATAGCATAGAAAGATTATTAAAACAAAATGTAGGGACTTCAGATAACAGAAATATTCCATTTCTAATAATCATTACTTTACCAGTTCAAAGTCTTCCATCTCTGATTTGTTCATCCTGCGAACAAGAGACTGGAATAAATCCTCTAGTTCATTTAGGGTGTGTTCCATTGATTCTGAAATACCAAACAAAGCTTCTTTAAATCTCATTTGCAGGTGCAACAGGCAGCTTTATTCATTTAGAAACCTCTAAGATCTGCAAGAGTAATTTGAATATTACTGTTTTGCAAACAAATTTCAGGAAACGTGATCTTTTGACAAAAAATGTTCTAGTTCCACCGGCAGCCAAGAGAAAAGTAAACATGCAGAAATTGCCCTCGCAATTCTAGTTAAAGTAACCAATCACAACACATTCATGCACCTTAAAACACATGTAACTCCTTTCTAGTTTTAGAGAAACAGCTTTATTAATAACACTTACATACCCTTCTCATCATTTTCATCCTCATTGTGACTTTCAATACATTTTCCCATTGAGTGCAGTAAGTAACACAGTAGGTGAGCCTAAAATTTAGCAACAGATCTTTTTACATAACTTAGACAAAAATTCGGAACCAAACAAGTCAGAGAGAAGAATAGGAAACAATTAAAAATGACAGAAACATCAGGAGTTACTAACCAGTGGCTCTGTAAGGTAAATCTGATCCCCTGCAGCAGATAAACAGGGCTCTAATTTGACTGGAGGATTAACTGTTTCATCTGACTCCAAATATTTTTGGAACTGTGACAATGAGCAAATAATATTTGGATTAACTACACAGGAGTGCAAACATTTCACTCCAACTCTGCCCACTAGAATCTTTACCATATAGAAATAGTATTATGCAACAACTTGCACATTACCTGGTTGCTTAACATATCTAGAATTGGTTGTTGTAACTGAGGGTTCCTACACAATACATGGAAGAGCCCCTAAAACAGCAAGAGGATGAATAAACAAATAAAGTATAATTATAAAAGTTTTAAGATAGTATGCACACTCTCCTTGGTATAAAGGTAGGTGTTTAGATGAGAGCATTTTGAGAAATAGTTACAAAAGCAATAGAACACATTTTTCTGTGTTTACATAGTCTCATCTAAGCACTTGCAGCTTGAAAGGATTCTTGAAAAATGTGCAAACCCATGCCTGCACTTTCTCAGGTTTATATAACTTTCTCAAATTCTCCAAACCCCTCACTTATTTATGTGCATTATGTAAACACCGAAAAAGTCTTCTAATGCTTAAATGGACCTGGTGGCTGCAGGCAATGGCTTAACAGTAGACAAACCGGAATTTCCTACAATTTTCATCTAAACTGCAATTCTCTAAGTGCTGGTATGTGATATCTATGGAGTCATTGTAATGAGACAGCCTCCAGAGTAAATGAAATTTATATTCTACATGTAAGTATTTCAACATCTTGTTGACAATTACATGTATGACTTGAGACTCCACAAGCAAGACTGTTATAGATGTAATAACATCAAAATCAATTCATTTATAGCAATTGAAAATATGTGCAGATATTGAATTTTCAATATATGTATTTCAACATTTCAAGTCTTTTTGGTTGTCTGTAATACTTTTTCTCAAGACATTTCATTTTTTACATGAACTCACAGAATCTTTAATTCTTGAACTATGAGTAAAAACAATTCTCCATCACATGTTTTAAAAATATGGCATATATGATCTACAAACAAATTAAGATTGACTGAGTAATAAATACGATCTCCAAATTGTTACAGTCTGCTGTGAAGCACTAGTTATCCACACCTCATAAAGCTGCACTCTTACATCAGCTTGCTGAGTGAGACATCTTCGTAGGTTCCCTACATATAAAACACATGCACATAGCTTTCAGCAGATGCAAAGGTTATCTGTAATTCCAACCTCATCTACAAGGAAGACTCTACATGACACAGCAGGTAACTGCTGAATTGAAGAAGTGCGTTTGGCGGTCATTTACAAAGCTGTAACATAGCTAACACTTAACATTGATTATGGCAATGATTAATTAAAAAAATGGGAAAACATCACCATAAATGTTATGAAGCCTTTTTTACTGAAACTTCTTTTCTGCTTTTTTTTTTTCCCTAGCAACCAAAATTTTATTTTGGGCAACCATTTGATCATTTTAGGTTGTCAAATAATGACATAGAAAAGTTTAGCTTGCAGCCCTATCACCATATACGTATATCATTTATAGGGCCATAAAGCAGAAAGAGGGAAGTTTAAGATTCATCCATACTACCATACATGGAAAACATGGTATCTTCAGTTGCTGTTCATTTGGGGAAAAACTAAAGGATTGTTCTTTTCTGAAATTTACCTAATATCTCCAAACAAAGTGCTTCATTTCCCATGTTACCACCTCGAACATGAACATCTACTTGAATTTGACTAGAATGTGATGGCTGACTTGGCTGACTTGCAGGCTGACTTGATGTGATACCTCCACCTAAAATCTGAAATATTGTGCAAACAAACCAGAAGGTTGAAAAAAAACTTTTAAAACAAGTCCACACTATTTCATGAAAAATGGATAAAGACTTTGGAGCAAAACCATTCAAAGAGGTGAATTTTCTACCAGTTTCCTTCTTTGAATCACTCAGTCAATTTACTTAAATATATATGCTCATATATACCCTTAAATGAGATTTACAACCATTACAGTATTATTTGCTTGGCTTCACTTTCAGAGGAAAATTGTGCAAAAATTATTACACCTAATGAATGTAGTGGAACAAAAGGCTCAGAAAAAATTGCTGGGCATTTCTTTTTTCATCACACTGAATTTCAAATGCCAAAATTGAACACTGATGTTTTACAGACCTTCCTTACATACCTCCCTTTTACGGGAAAGAACATTTTACGTGTAAGGCCTACAATATATACTGTACCCTAAAATTTTTAAGGATCAAGAGAAATCCTGCAACGGCGATCTTACGTGCATCCACCTGTCTTCAGAAAAAATAAACAATACTGTTACTGGCAGAGTCAACTTGCAACTGAATGGTTGTTCATGGTTAGAGCACCATTTTTCCATGCAAAGAAAAAAAAACTTTGGTTAAACACAATACTGGAATACAAGTTGTGAATGCTAAATACATTACTCTACATCAATCAACAAAGCAATATTCAGGGTGTCCATGTAGAAGCCATTATCAGTTACTGACAGAAAATTAAGGTTATTATTATTTATACAGTAGAGTTCTTCACTACCTACATGCATCATTTGCATTGCAAATACATTTCTAGAGAGAACTTTATAAATCTGAATACATAATCATTTCCACAACATTCATGATTACCTTGAGAACATTGCTTTTCGTAGCACAACCATGAGAGAGTCCCTCAAAGTCAAACTGATCTTCAAAAGGGGCTATTCAAAATAGCAGAAAAACAAATTATGATTAATTGTCCAAAAACTATAAACAATAAATATAATTTAAGCCACAAAACAGCAAAAAAGAAGCAATAAAACACAACCTAACAGCACCTGGATAGCTTTCAAAAAACCCTCTGCTGACTTTGGAGGTAAGAATGACAAATAGTCTAAAGCCTCCTTGACCTGCCCAAGGAAGAAATGAACATTTAATGGTTGTTATAATACTGTTGTGGTTTTATTTCACTTTTAGCGCAAAGTTAAGCTTTACAAGACAGAGTATCATCATGAATGACAAAACATTTGACACACATGAAAAAAAATCTGAACCAAAAATTAGACTGATGAGCTATAACAATACACAGCCTGTATATTTCCTTTAATCTTACTACTTGATTTTACTTTTTCTTTGCGATCAACCCCTTCTTCATGTAAGCTAGAAAAAAATGTTTAATAAAACTATGCCAAAACTGAAAAGTGCCCTGTAAAAACTTGACAGATGGTTTAGACCTTCTTTAGTACATTTTTCTTTTAGCCCTCTCAAGAAAAATTAATGACTTACCCTTGGTAGTAATTCTAGTAGCACATGTGGTGCTGAAGACACTGTGCTGGCCAACAGTTCTACAAAATAAACATCAATTGAAATCACATCAAATCTGAGCATAACATCACCAATATTTCAGAACTTCAAAGTTCTAAAATTATAACTTGATTTAATAAGGTATGCAGGGGAAATAACTCAGTTGCCACCCAAAGGAATATTTTTGATTCATTTGTTTTCCAAAGCAAATTGTATATTATGCAATTTAAAAAGTTGACCATGCAGTAGTTGCTTTCTGTTGTTGATTGTTAAACAGAGTTGACTTTTCTACAACAAATGTTCATCTAATCTCACTGAACTTGAGCTTAAGTTGTATCCATACCATGTTTGTTTAGTTCTAACATACCAATGTAATGATGAACAGGTGTCGTTGCCCTGGTAATCACTCTGTTAAGGATCTGCTGAAGTATTTCAGAACGAACCATCTCATGGGCCTGAAAAAAAGAAAATCCGATGCTATAAGATGTAATTCCTCAAAACTATTTAATTCCAATGATTGGTTATTTCTCTCTGTGCTGCTATACTTTTAATGTTAATTATCAAAAAGTGAAAATAATTTATATGTTATAGCAAGATAAGAAATTTTTTCTGGTCCTGAATTAGAAAGCTGATTTAAATACTTTAAAGTTAATTTATTAAAACATATTGATAATTTTCTTAACACTGTCCACAGTAAAGCTTTAAAAGTATCATGTATATCTGGTTTGCTTCTGGCCAGTTAAGATTTTTTATCACTGAATGCTTCACTGATCATTTCGATGTTTAGCCTGGCTCTTTAAGAGCTCCTTGGAGGGTGATAAAATGAGATATTGTTAAGGAATCACTGTAAGTTCCCAAACCACATTTGATGTTAACCCTAGCTGACAAAAAGTCCTTACAACTACCTTAAAAGTATCAAGTAGAACTGAAGATCCAAGCTTGCAGGAGTGTTGGGTTGGAGAGAGGATTGGTGATGATGTAGAGTCTGAAAGAGAGAGAAGGTCTTTACTCAAATACAACCATTATCTCAGCAGCCAGATAAATACACCAATATGTGTCAATGTAATGACCACTAAAATGGAAATCTCAAGCAATTGGATATCTTGAGTTTACATTGTTAGTGAATCTGCATCATTTTTTGGACACTTTGCATTTGCAGTAAACATGTGAATAGCTTGGATACAAACAACACCCATAAATCTACATCTACCGAAATCCTCTCATTTCAAAAAGGGTCTGTGTTAGAGACATTAAAATCATTATGTGAGTTCTTAGTGGCTAAGACAATAAGAGCTGCTTAGGAGAGGTGTCCATCAGAAAGAGGCATCAGCAAAGATTCTCCAGTGAAAAGTGACAAAATTTTCCCCACTGATTTTTTTACAGGTGGGAATAAAAGATCTGTTAAAATGTGTCTTGCTCTCATGAGTCACAAAGGTAAAGCCCAGCCAATAATAAACACTCTTTCACTGCACAAATTTTAAAACAGAATATAAAAACCCTACCAAATGTCTTCGGACCAAATGCATCCATTAGCATGAATCCCAACTGCACCAATCCCTGAGTGACATGATCCCATCCAAACAAACTGTAGCACGTAAAATTTACATATTTAGAGATCTAAGCAATTGCATTATAGGCAGGATGACTGGATTGCCAAAAAGTTATTTATTGTATGGCAATAAAGGTTACATACCACAAAATGTAGAACAAGTTCTCAAAACCAGTCAAAGATTCATTTTCTTGTTTTGATGTCTGACATTGTATCAATTTGGTGACTCTGAAGTTCCCAAATGAATACAGTTGGAGAAGTGTCGTGTTTTCTTGTCTAAAATTTATAGGAAGTATGTAAACCCGCTAAAAGCCCTTTATCTTTTTGTTGGTTTGCAGTGGTCAATCGCAAGTAGGCAGCATTGGCCCATCTTACCCACACTGATAGCCAAACACAGAGTACAGGATTTGCTTCATATTAATGATCTTCAGAACTAGCCATTTAATATTTAATTTTTGGACATTTTAAGTCACAATTAATTTTGTACCTGTTCTGAACTGTCTCTAGAATTTGATCCTGAACTGAAGAACATGCTGGGATATTTTCTTGGAAGAAGAAAAAATCACATGTCAGAAAGAGTTGCATTAATTAAATTGATAGGCTGAGATGGGTCAATAAATTTAACAGACTAACATGTAACGAAAATGAACATTTATAGCAAACCAATAAAAGTCCCGTTTTGTCTGAGGCAAAAAGGTAGAGCTAAAAATTAATTCTCATCTTTGGAATTCTTAGACTGCTAACTTGGTACTGTATCCAGCCAGATAAAAATTTTGCATGGCTGATGAGAACTCAGCAAAATGTTAATAAAATTGATTGAAAAGTTGTAATGAATAGAGACGACAAACTGCTGCAGTTCAATGAAAAAGTTTTACAACATGTTAAACCTCAGAACAGTGTTATCTTGTGTGCTATTACAGTTGTCTACAGGGGAACGAGCTGGTAACAAGATAAAATTCATTCAAAAATGTAGTTCTGTGAGTTTGTTTAAGTTAAAAACAAATTGATCAAAATTTTTCCTTTTCTTACCACAGCTAAATCAGATTACCTCTAGCCCATTTGGATTGCTTTCTTCTGTCTTCATCTTTGAAACTTCTAAGCACTGCAGCCTTCAGGAAGTCAAATATCTGAAAGTTGGATTAAAAAGTGGTTTATCAAGTTACAACTGCTTCAACTACCAAAGTTAATTCTGGAGTGAATCCCTTTGGAGGATTTGGACCCCAGCCAAAGTTGAATTTACAGCAACATTTCCTTCAAAATTAGACTTGGAGAAATCACCACAGTGCTATGCCATACCATATACTAAGCCAAGGAGGTAAGTTCTAAAAGAAAGTGTGCTGCTGCATCAGTTGGGGAATATAACAAGATAATTTGGTTTTATTAACTTAAAATTCCAGCTTTTAAACCCTCTGTGGTAGCCAATTTACATTCCGTAAACAACTTACTGTTTCTTCAAATCTATGGATCTGTGCAATGGAAAGAGCTAATGCAACATTAAAAGGTGTCAAAATCATCCCTGAGGAGCTTTGATGAACCTGCAGAATAGATCATGTCATGAGCACTTCAGTATATATTTTTCGGTTTACTCTAAAATTACACGCAAGATTTTATAACAAATGTTCATTGTCACTAAATCAATGATTATGTGTAAAATTGTTTTGGATTTAATTGTAGATATCATCCGGTTAATTTCTTGACAATTAAGTCTAATTTCTATCAAAAGTTAGAAATCACTGTCCACAGGAATGTCCCAAATGCAGAGTTTAACAACAACTCTTTGGTATCTGCAAGTTAATAACCAATGGATGGTTCTGTGAAGGTGAACACATAATAAAGATTCTTCATGACAGCAAGGACAGAAAAAGAGATAAACAACAAATTTCAGTCTGATCCAAGTCCATGAAATCATAATGACAACTAGCACTATTTAAAATATCTCAGAAAAAAAAATTAAAACAAAAACGTTAAAGAAGAATAGAGGTAAACCTTTATGGAACCCATTTGCTCAAGAAGAACTGCTGAATACCTTTAAATATTTGATAAACTCCTTTCCCAGGTCTTGATCCTGTTTCACAGCAAATGTAATATGAAGGATCACAGTTCCTTCCATATGCCTCAGCTGATCCTTAGACAATGTCTGAACCTCTGAGCTACAAGTCCAAACACAGGGCATATTAACCTTTTGACATCTAAGAGAGACTAGCATAATCTCTCTCCTTTCAGTCACACTCCTGAATCAAACATGGAGGTTACCTGAATAAAGGAGGTGATCACTAACCTAAGAAGATGTGATTGTTAAACAAATGCTCCTGGTGAGTGCTTTTAGATCTTCCAGTTTGGGTTTTCTTATACCCAATATCATGTGACCAGTTTTCAATATTATACACCAAGTTGAAGTTTGCAGATTAATATATAGATTTAGCCAAGCCTAAGATTGGAGCTCGCATTTTTTTTTTCCAACACATCTCAAGGGCACAACACCTTGCCCCGGCCAGGACTAGAACCCGGGTCATCCGACTCGCAGCCCAGTGCACTGACCACTGGACTACTGGACAAAGCCGTGGCATTAGCATGCCCACGGTACAGTTGACCATACATGTTAAAAGTAGCACCTTGTACAGTCGTATGGTCATACAGTCGTACATGCAAATTTTTTCAGCTTGATGGGTTACTACTATTTTGTATAATTATGGGACTACGCTCTGCAAGCTCTGCTATAAAACGGCCAAAGAAGAGTATGGAGAATATGCATACTGATGTTAGGGTGTAAAGGGTTAATGGAGATCAAGGAAAATACAGCCCATTAGTTAAGAATTGGTGATTGTTTTAAGTGTAAAAGGTGAGGGTTAGGATTAGCCTTAGACTTCTGCCAAGGTTGGTTTTAGACACCCACATGAAAAGAGGGGAGCTTCATTCAACCTACAGTTTGGAGATAGCATCCCCATGAGGTTGATTATATCTTCTATTTCATAAAACATATGGTTGAAAAGCTGCATCTTTACACCAAAAATCTCCTCAATTGTACCAAAAAAAAAAAGACAAAAAGACAGCATACCTATCCTCTTTGTCCTCCTTGCGACATGTTTCATCTAAGTTGTTAAAAAATGATGTTACTCCCTCCAAAAGAAGTTTTTTGTGACCCTACAAAATACACATGAAATTGTATCAATAACTAGACCTTTTAACAGAAAAATGTTTTGATGTGAACAAGACTGAAATACCTTTGTAGAAAGTAGCAGTAACTGATACACCAATGGAGGTAATTCTTGAAGGTCAAGGTCTTTCATGGCTCTAGAAATTAAAGAATAAAAATATTATGGATCATAAAATGTAACTAGTCAAAGATGTTTGCAATATGGCAATAGTACTGAGAGGTTACATGTTTTTTTCAAAACTTTCATAAAACTGAAATTATAATAAATCAGCAAATAATCCCCCTCCTTTCAAGTCTTATTGTGCCCTTACTACAAAACCCAATATTTTTAGAATACATTTGAAGAGCTCATGTTTTATTCACTAGTAAATAAATTTCCTTAGTGTTCATCTTTATTAGTTTTATAAAAAAAAAGGATAATAACAGCAACATGGCTGTACTGGGCTAAGAAAATGAGTATGATCGAACAGGCTTTAGTTCTCACCTCACTATCTTCTCCATTACAAAATGTAGTTCATCTGATGTCATTGGCACATCCCTGTAAACACATGAACTCTTTATCTAACGTTTGATGTCTAATAATTATGTTAAATGAATAATTGCCTTTTTTTCTACTTAAACGGTGATGACACCCTCATCTACAGTTTTCTAAATTTATCACATTTGGAGTATCAATCACTGTGTATTAGGTATATAAATTACTGAGAGCTGAACAATTTTAACATTCATAGATGAACTTAATTTAAATGCAAAAACAAAATATTGAAGTTTGGTATAGAAATAGCCACAAGAAAGTAAAAAATCTCAATTAACCTGAAAACAGCAGCCAGATGAATAGCACATTGTGGGTCCCATCTGAAACAAGAGACCAAAAAACATGAAAATTAAGAAAAAAGCCGATCATTCAAGTGAATGGATGTGATTGTAGTCAAAGGGTATATTTTGGATCCAGTTATTACTCTGACTTCCTATGGAAAAGCCCAAGTTTAAATTACCTTGTGGTCATTGTCTATCTTTCTAACAGGCATTTTATGCTATTTCTGCACCGCAAAGGCCAGTGGGTTGTATTTTGACTTGGTTCAGTATTTTGACTCAGTGATTTATATGTCAATGATCTCTGACAGCAGCTCCTATATGCAAGAAGTTTACTTGTTGATTGGGGAAGTCAATGAGCTCTGAAAACATCTCCCAAATGAAAGAAGTTTGTTGGTTGATGGGGGACTTACTGAGCTCTAATAAGAGCTCCTGATTGCAGTAAGTTGAATGGTCAATGAGCTCTCGTAGGAGCTCAAGATTGCAAGAGGTTTGTTGGCAAATTATGAATTCAACAAGCTCTGCTAAGAGCTCCCAACTGCAACCAATTTGATGGTCAATCAGGGAATGAGAGCTCCCTACTGCAAGAAGATCTTTGGTAGATTAGGGATTCAGTGACCTCTGATATTTGGTTGGGTAGTACCAGAGATATTGCTAAGATCTTTCCTAGACTTACATGTTTTTTCCCCCAAAAGCACCTCCACCCCCTTTAAAATCAGTTTGCACCAAGTCACTGATCCCAGTCTGCAACTATGACTGACATAGCAATGATCTCTAAGTATCAGCCTATCCTTATCTGATGTCATATCTTAGGAGTAATGGGGAAGCAAAAAAATCCTTTTAGAGCCTTTTTTGTAGACCTATTCATTGACTAGACACTGCATTTATTTATTTTTTTAATTCAAAATTCTTAATCTATTTTAATGTTTGTTTTTATAATGAATTTCAATCATTGTTACTACTTCTCCCTTTATTTGTTAAGTAATTTTTATTTTATTTTTTTAACATCTGGTTTTTTTTTTGCTACTTGTTACTTTGTGTACTAACATCCCTCTTACAGTTACCTATGAATATTTGCATTGTAACACAACAACTTTTCTCTTGATCTTTTGCCTCAAAATGATACAACTAAGAGTGCATTATCTATGACTGTTGGTCTTTTTTTTATTTACTGAGTGATAATAAAGATATGCAGCAGACAATTTCACAAATTGCTTTAATAAGCAACTGAGGCCACAGAAACAGGAGAGACCTCCAAAAATTTATATCTAAAGTACTTAAACATTGTATGGGGCATATCATCCCAGGAAATAAAAATCACACCTTTTGATAAAAGGTAGTCAAGTAAAGTTGAATATTACCACAAGATAATTTGCAGTTTAAACAAAGAGTAGTTTACAAGCATGTTTCATTTATACATGTTTTATAGTGTATCTTGTTATGAGTACGATGCATCTCTGCTATACAGGTAGTTTCATTTAAGCCTCAGTCATACTTTACCTGCTAGAACACAATGTGTTCAGAAGATGTCTTTTATATTCCTGACCTGCCATTTCACCTCCACAATCTATTATCAAAAATAAAATTTATTTCATTGCAAAATGGATTTTTGGTCAACCAAACCTTGGAAATGACCAAGGAATCAAAAAAGCAAAATGCACCAATTGCTGTTCATCTGTTACTATAATAATTATGATTCTTGGAGGTGGTACCATAACTGGGTCCTTCAGTTAATGGTTCAACCTGGAGGCAACATGTGAAAGTGTAGTATGAACATTCAAGTGAGTGTAGCCCTGAAAAGGACTGTCATTGGTAGTAGCTGATGTTTTGACCACCTGAGCTCTCACTCTAATGATGAGAGGAAGGGTCCTGATCACAGTCATTATCACTTGGGTGATGACTTCTGCCTAAGTTGTCGACATGTCAGTCACTAATACTGACAACAGTCCTTAATAGGACCACACTCACCCAGAGGATCAGACTACACCATCACAAATGGGTCCATAAAGACATGGAGGAGAGAGCTCATACCCAGGAATACATGTTGTGTCCTCTTTTCTTAAAGGTAGCATAGGTACCATGAAAAAGTGTTAATATTATATCATGCACATATGGTGGCACGCCAGCAGGTGAGAATTTATACAAAACTACAAATTAAATAAAAATAGTGATACAACACTATAGCCTGACCACAGCTTCAATTTAAAAGCTAATGTACAACTTAGAGGATTTAGAGAATACTACTCTTCTAAAATTACATCTCCACAATTGAAAGTAATTTTTCTGGACAGTGATGTGTGATAAGTAATTTCATTTGAAGTCAGGAGTATATGCTTCATAATAATCATAAGTGTACCTCCTGGCATTGGAATGACATCCTTAGCTGCAACGGCAGACAGCACCTTTGGAAATAGCTCCAAAGTTCTATACAAGATAAAAACAAAGGTGTTAATAATAATCCCTATATGTGGCTAAATAACATGAAGAGGAAACACACAAGAAGTCTAGCAAACTTATCAAATACCATAAAAGCCAGAATTTAGTCATCTAAAATATTGCATAATAATAATTTACATGACTGCAAGGCTCTTGGGAATAAACCCTATAGCCTCCTAAATCTCATCCCTATAACCTTGTGGTGAGGTTTGTTGTCTAATGAAGTGGTATGCTCAGAGAAATGTATATCTAAATTAATAACCTTGGGTTGTATAGTGCGAAAATTGAAATAAGCTATTTGAATTGGGCTGTTACAGTAATACAAAATGAATGCACAAAACAATCCATCAAAATGCAAATGAATGCATCTCATTTTGCTGCTTTGTTTTGTTTTGTTGTCTTGTTGTTTTTTCATTTGTTTGGTTTTTTTTCAATTATACTTGTTGCCTCCCATTGACTATTAGTAGACAAAAATAAGCCACTTGTAAGTACATGGAGACCTGTGCATTTAAAAAAATTTCTTACTTACTTTCCATTACTGAAGGAACCAGTCTTAATAGCATTTATAAATAAATCAGCAAGTTCAGCAAGAATTTTTCCAGGAAAGGCATCCAGCTAGAAGGCAAATAAAAGAAAAGTATATTCTCAAGCCAGGTTACTCATTCAACCCAAGCTCATCCTGGGTTCAGCTGTATGAAGCAATAAGGCTTCACATTGAAAGCTGAAAGCTCACATTCAAAGAAATATTTCAAACCATATAATGCCCTTTTTGACATGAACATGAATCTTATAACCCTAGTTATTTTTTCATTTATAGCAAAACAATATTGTGAATGCTGAAATTGACAATTGTTGCAGTATAACAAAGGCACACCCCTGAATGTAAATATAACGGTGTTTTTCAAAACTATACTTATTCTGACAGTCATTATTGCATGAACAACTAATGAATGAATAACCTCTATTGAAAATCTACTCTCCTTACCTCCATTAGTAAAAATCCAACAATTTCAGTGGCCATCTGACATTGATAGGTTTATACAAAGAAAACATAAGTTAGAAAGGGCGTGGATATTAAGTATAATTTTCTAAATTGCAGCACAGTCCATATGGTAACTTTTTATCCAATTCAAAAACAATGATAAGAACTGACAGGAAAGATTGTCCTGGCTATTGAATAATTAAAACTTGAGAATTATGTGTTTCACTTCCTCACTAACTCAAATAAACTACAAGCTGCTACATAGAAGTTTCCATACATGTAAAATAATAAATCTATAATTTATAAAATTGTGTATGTATCTCAGACAGCAATAGCAGTTACTTGGATAGATCACATTTTGAACTCTACATATCTGCTACTGTGAAATTGGATATACTATACTGATCTACATGAAAGTTAAAAGACAATCTTAAAACAAGTAAACAAGTAGTGCTTCATTAGAATTGCAAGCAGGTGACAATTGCATCCTAAGTCACCATAAATACAAAGGAATTAAACAAAAAAGGAGGCACAGGTTATTGATTCCATACAGAATAATATCACACAATACCTTGTTACTAAGGTCACCTTCACTGAGTATTTGAATGGCATGCTTGAACACAAATGTACGTCTTTCCAAACCAATTTTAGTGTCACATGGTGAACCTTTGAATACAGCTTGAAGATAAGGAACTGGTTCACCCCTTCCCTCCAACACTCTGGCTTCTAATAAGTCTACAACCTGTGGAATCAACACAAATACCTATACAAATTGCACTCCACTCAATTCAATACCATTATATATACTGTTGCTATGGATTCATGGTCTTGTCTGACATGTGCAGACATCATTCAGCTCCATCACAGGTGAGTCGTTCCAGGGCAGCTGTCAGTAGTTTGCACATCTTGTCCTGCCTAATGCAACACTGTAAAATATAACTAAAACTACATGAATACTCTTAAGAATGCATAGTGTCAACAACCAAAGCCAATGAGCCCTAAAAGCTTGAATAAGAGTGCAATGCTAAAACCATTGGAAATATTTCCACATAACCCCATACTACTGACAGGGCTGAATAAGGTCTGCCCATGTCACCAATGCGACAATGGATTCATAGAAACAGTAATTTAACTGAGTAGATTGAAATTCAAGCTGAAATGTTGAAGTATGTGGTTGCTACTGAAAATAAGACAATCTATTGTTTTCGACACTGCTTTCGTTATTCAAGAGCTGTATGCAAATTGAAGCACGGGCCGCACAGAAATCTTGCCAAACCATAAACAAGCAAGTACCCCAGTTGGTAAAAATTTCCGCACAGCCCCATACTACATTATGCTTTCAGTTCTTGGATAGAGAAAACAATGACAAAAACAGTACACCGCCATTGAGAAAACAGATTTGTTTTACGATAGTATGGGGCTGTGAGGAAATTTTACCACACTTTCCCATCCTAACTAAATAACAATTTAGATATCATAACCTTGATAACGTAAAATCACGTTTTACCCCGTTGACATCTCGAGCGAATCGAATGGAACAGAAAGCTCACCTTTTGATGTTTCAGCGTCGATAGCGCCTGAACCAAGGGAGTTAAATTATTTCCCTCGCAAAGACAAATAATTTTTTCATCCATTATCCAGAGACTCACGGCAGAGCTGTTTTAAAACATAAATATAGCCAATGTACTATAATCACTTTTCTTCACTTCGAAGCCGCGCCGCACTGCGCCACCATTTTTACAAAATTTGGCGCCAAAACTTTCTTTTTTTGATGCATTTTCTGATTGGTTTATTTTTTACTGTTCTCTCCCACCAATCAATAACGTTTAATTGACAACAATTATTGATGACAAAATGGCGGACTTTCCCTCACGCGAACTATGTTTTGCTCTTTTGCTTACTTTTTTGGCGAGGAGTTTTTGCTTCAAACCAGTGATCATCGTCCATGGAATACTAGATCACGCTTCAGACATGAAAGATCTTGCTTCGTTTATAACGCAAGCCCATCCCGGCACCAACATCACGTTGATAAAATTGTTTGAGGAATTAGACAGCTTCAAACCTATGTGGATGCAGGTCTTAGCAATTTCTGAAAAAGTACGAGAAGTGATGCAGGAGGCTAAGGAAGGAGTTCATATTATAGGCTTCTCTCAAGGTAATAGCCTATTCTTAAACTATCCTCGTCAGCTCAAGTGGTGACCCTATTCAAAGATCACACCTTATTAAGTACAACGCTAGTATTCAAATGAATCTTGTTACAATTGTTTAGAACACCCCTTATCCGTTTAAAAGACATGTTAGGGAATCAAACGGCACTAACGTACTCCTAGGATACGCGCACAGGATACTAATTAATTCATTCAACGTGCAAAAAATTTTGATCGCTTAGCATGGACTTTCATCGTAACGGAAGTTTTACACATTTGTTAAGTGATCACGCGTTGTTGATCATTTTTCCCTAGCAACTTTTGATCTCCATTGAAAGTATTTTTTCAATTGTAGTTTTAATAGCATAATTTTGAGGTAATTTGAATTTATAGTCGCTGTCATGACTTCGACCATGTTTATTTCCCCGTGACAATCATACGATACCTTGGTGTTACGTAACGAAAGTGTCAATAGGCACAAACACCTTTTTCGGGTGGGAGTTGGGTATAAGGGCTTTAAGAAAGATGGTTTTAAGAGGACAATTCTGTAAAAGCTGTGTATTTTGAAAATGTTTGGTACTTATTTGTTTTAACAACAGGCGGACTGACTGTGCGTGCAATCTTGGAGACCATGGATGACCATAATGCTGAGAGTTTTATTTCCCTGTCCAGTCCCCAGATGGGACAATATGGAGGTAACAGCTAGGAAAGCATTTTGTTAAGTCCTGCAAAAAAGAACAGAAACAGGAGAGAAATAATCAAATAATTATGATGTTTCTTTGTCTATAGCCCCCATCTTAAGATCAAAGGTTTCAGACATGGGTCAGACCCAAACAGTGGAATTTACAGTGGAACCCTACTTGGCAAAATGCTAAGTTACCTGAGCCTCTTGACCCTTTTTGCATCCTATCATTAGTATGCATATTCTCCATACTGTTCTCTATACATTTCCTAAGGTACTGAGAAGGAGAATTTGTTTAACAATTGTGAGTTTCTTTCAATGATGATCATTTCCTTAAGGGATATTGTGAGGAGAAATTAAGGTAGATGCTAGTCACTCGAAGGGGTGAACGAGTGAAAGACAGCTGGTCGTAGTAATAAGAGTGACAATGGAGTTCATTTGTGTACAGGTTTTACTGTTCATTGCTTATTTTTTACTTTGTTTGCACAAATGTATATAAAATCTAGCTTGCCTTGTTAGATTTGGATTTAAAGATGGATGTGCCTGGCGCACAGCCAATAAAGAAAAGTTGCTTCCCTAACACCTTGTACTGATCTATTTACTTTTTACTTTCTTTTATGCAGACACTGACTATCTGAAGCCTTACATTCCAAAACTTGCTAGAAAGGATCTTTACATGTAAGTCTACATAACAATTATTCCATTATTATTAGTAGGATATGAGATGATAGATGGCAAACAAAGTCCACTAGGTCCAAGTTGGATATAATCATCTCATGTTGAACAAGCCTAAGTGGAATAATTCTTTTATGAAAAATGCCCCAAAATATAGATAAATCTTCCCAACTTTATTTTGCAAGAACAAACAGAGAGAAAATGTAAAAAACACTTTTGCCTTAAATCGTCTTCATGCACACTTATTATATCCTTGGATGGCTAAGCCAATGAATACTCTTGAATTGCATTATCCAATGATCCAGTTTTTAATAAAAAGTAATATGTTTTACTGTATTAATTTATACTTGCATGTTACAAAGTTAGAAGGGAAAGACCAGTCTACACAAAAAAAAAAGATGGTTGATACAATTGGTTTTTGCTTTCCATATTTCTTTCAGACTCTTTTACACCAAATATTTTCAAGATAGAATTTCTTTAGCAAACTACTGGAATGGTAAGAAAATTTACCTTAAGCAAATTAAAGAAAAACCTTCCTGAATATATTTTATTTATTACCACTACATCCAGAAGCATTTTGAGGGCATTTTCAGCAGGACAGACCCATAAGAGAGAACAATGAAATATTTTCATGGTTTTCCTATTTGCAAGGTATGTTTGTTTATCTAACATGTGCATGACCTAAAATGTTAGTTTTTTTTTTCTAACTAGATCCATACCATGAAGACAAGAACTATGAGTATAACGTATTTTTGCCAGTAGTAAACAACCTCAATTCATCAAAGTTTTTCAATGCATCAGGTATGGCCAAAAATTGGTTTGTGTTATTTGTTATGATTTGGGTCTTAGTCAGTTTCATACTTTACAAAACACTGCAAACATTTTGCAAATAATGATGATTTGAAATATATAGTAACCACTTCATTTTGCACCTCCTTTTCATCTAAGGCTTGACATAATCCTTCTTTTTCAGTTTAGGACAACCATCGCCCATTCCTTTCTATGCCTTTTATACCCTAACATCAATATGTATATTCTCTATACTGTTCTCTATACATTTCCTTAGATGTTGTCAAGGAGAATTTTTTAACAATCAAGAGCTCCTTGAGTTTGTGATCATTTCCTTTATTCTCATGACCTTAATGTTTGGTTTTGGGGTGACACTTTTAAGAGAATTAAATGTCTGGCACTCTTGGGGTTACAGGATTAATGTTCCTTGTTATTGATTAGTCACTGGACTCAGCTGAAAAAGAGTGACTATTAGCCACTTGAATTGCTTTCTCTAGGCCCATTCCCAAAGGGAGCAACAGCTTAGTTCCCTTATTTGGCAAAAAAAAAAAGGTAACATCTCTATTAAACCCTTAAATTCTGTTACAGTTGGTGCACAATTCAAAGAGAATTTCCTTCGAATCAAGAACTTGATTTTGGTAGGAGGTCCAGATGATGGTGTCATTACACCATGGCAGTCAAGGTAATAATTAACTTAAAACAACTACTTTTTCAAAGAGTCTTACAAACTTAAGGCCAAAATTTCTGGATATATAATGCAGCATATTACTTAAAATCAAATACGCTTTTTAATAAAAAATTTATCAGGTCATTTTTAACTTGATCCACAATAATGACAAAAGATATTGCTACACTTAATTTTAGTTCTTATCAGTTGCATTGGAAATGTTTTAGCATGCAGCAGATACATATATCCTGAATTTTTCTACTTTCTTTATTACTGTAGCCAGTTTGGTTTTTATGACACAAGTCTAACAGTTGTGGATATGAAAAATCAACAGGTCAGTATTTAATATTCAGGGAGGGGAGGGTGACCTAAAAGCTGCTCTTGGTACCGATCCAATTTTTTTTTTAAGTTTTGGGGCCATGGATGACTATGCCCCTAAACCTGAAAAATGCTGTTACAATTAAACCCTTCCTAAATAGCTTTGCAGGTCTGTACCTGATTTTTCTGCTATATGAACAGCTTTTTAGTCTGCATATGATAGAAATTACTGATTATTAAGAATTATGATTACATTGATATTATGTTAAAGGAAAAAAATCATAATTTAATCCATGCATAACTCTCCGCATCTGAATTTATAATGAATGGGCTAGTCCACTGCGGAATATAGGTGGGGGCCAAGAGCCCCCTTTTTATTAAATTGGAGATGCATCCAACCAGCATTACATAGATACTGGTCTCAAACAAGATGTGTGGCATTTGGAAGTAATGTATGTATTGTATTACAGTGTACATGCTTCTTAATATTAAACTTATAATAAAGTTCCTATTTTAAGTTGTATTAATAGAAATCACCTTACATCCTTATGATTTCCTAGTTAATTTATTCATTCTCACCTACACAAAATTTTGAAAGAACATAAACCAATCACAGATCTGGGCTTTTTGATTTGTGAGTTTCACTCTCTTCCAAACTTTTGAAGGTTATTCTTTGGGCACAACAACAGCACAGGGAAGAGTTTAAATATCAATAACCAGTGAAATGAAGAAATTTGAATCAATGAATTAAGTTAACTAATTCTTTATCAGCAAACTATAATAACCAGATTCAGAAGATCATGTAAAGAATTAACTTAAAATTCTTTTCTAGGTTTACCTTGAAGACACCTTTGGCTTACGCACGCTAGATGAGAGAGGGTCAGTTCATCAATACACCTTTCCTGGGGTAAATCACACACATTGGCATGGAACGGAGAAAGTCTTTGTGGAAGCTATTGAACCATGGTTAACTTGATGTTAAAGCCTTACCAAATTAGGTTCAACATAGAGCAATTTTACAGTTGGATTAATGATTACTACTGGTAGCATTAGGCTCTGCAATGGAAATGTGATAGAAATGCTTTGGATTCTTTTCAGTCAGAGTCCAAAAATTTACTTTTAAAAGTTGACATGAGGAATTGTTAGGACTTGAATCCTAAAGCTGCTTTCATTGATTTACGAGTAGTTTGCTAGAATACATTTTTAAGTACTCTTAGGCATCATAGTCAAAAAATAGAGACTGAAGTGTATAATGGCAGCAAGGCAGGTTTTGCTCAACAGAGTTCTCCCTGAAAAAGGAACAGAAATATGAGACTGAAGTTCATGCAGTTACATTTTAGACTTTTAAAAGATGTTTCATATTCACTTTCACAAATAACTAAAGAATTATAAGAAATAATTAGAGAAATGTTTCAAAATTGCAATTCTATTTTTTAAAAAATTCAGTACATAGGAAAAAATGCAATGACCAATCAGCTATTTTGGATCTTGTGCATTAGTTTTATGAAGTGGATATGCACAACAATTTGAATTATTTCTATGAATTATTTGGTACTTGTAAGTGAAGATGTTTTACTGGCTTGTATTTTGTTAGATAAACAAAGATGTTGAGCTATCTTTCAAAAGTTTTAAATTTTTAAGTTAATTTAGCAAAATTAAATTTTAGACCTTGAAGTTAGACTTTGTGGCCAGTTGAGTATATCTAGTAATGTTGTGTTTCCATGAGGCATAGTTGCTATTTAATTTTTTTTTTGGCTCCTATTGAATTGCTGATACACCATGGCAAAGTCATATTTCAAGATACATGGCCTTTGAGGCAGTTTGTTGCAGTTATGCTCTAAAATGGAAAATCTTTGTGTTCAATTTTCCATTAATTATGCAATTATAAAAGATTGACAATTTCCAATATTTGATTTTGTTTGATAAGTCAACTCCAACAACAGGAGTGTATTCTATTCTTTTTAATTGGCACATGAAGCATGCTACATTGATTTCATAGCCTGAATTTTAATTTTTAGGATTTCACTTTTGGAAATAAATAAACAGGATTACTCACTTCATATGGTGACAATTTGCATTCATAGCTGTCATTCTTTTGCCTCAACATTTTATTCTAAATTAAATTAACATTAGTCACTCAAGGAAGCTGTGGCTTTTACTACATAAAAATGTGCCCAACACCCTTTTAGGGTTATTCATATCCCAGGCCTCAACTCCAACACCCTTCGTGTGACTTTTGATTTGTGTCAGTTTTTGTTTATTTGTTTTTCTCTGGGGGGGCTGTTGCTCACTTTCAGCCATACATTTTACTTATATGTAGGTGTGACCCTTACTCTCAGGTATTTACCTTATCCTGCATGCTCATGTCTATTTTGTTCCACAAATGGTACAGCAACCCCATTTACTTCATGACAGACAGCCATACACTGGCGTTAAGAGAATTTGTCAGAAAGGCATACCAATATATTTAATTAAATTCACCACAATCATTTTGGAAATTATTGAAAGCGTAAGATATCATTTCTAAATACTAAATAATTTTACACAACAATTACAACAGAAATTGCTTTCAACAACTAAACAATCCTTTTTTTCTGAAATACATTTACAGTCACAGTAATTGACAATAAATGTATCAAATAATTTAACTAACAGTATACATTCTTGACACAAAAATAATATAATACAAAGTTGAGAGATACACAACTTACAACTCAAATGATACAGGCAAATACTTTAACAATTTATATATTTACACAAAATAGTATGAAGCATAACTCATTTTAATATCAAAATCAAGTTTCTTCAGAAATGTCTTTCAATGGGTCTAAAATTAAGAATTCTGCCTGTCCTTTATTGAAACCTTTTGTTGTGTCTATAAAGTTTTGAAAAGCAATTGTTGTGTTCTTCAACTTTTCCTCCACTTTTCCTCTCATCTCTTTTATTCTTTCCGTTTCTTTTTCTGCTGCCTGTTTCAGCTGTATTTGTTCATCAATACGATCTCCCAACTTTTTTATTTCTTTCTCATGGATCTCCTTTTGTAGCAAAAGTTTGCTCTCCTCTTCCTTCTTACACTTTTCCTCCATTTCCTTCACTGCTTGTTTCTCCTCTTGTTTTAATCTCTCTTTAAGATTCTTCAAAGCTTGCTAA